GTACTTTCCTGGGGGGCTCTGTAAGAGGCAGGCAGAGGTGATTTCTATTTAGGTTACACGAAAAGAAACAAGAAAACAAGAACAATAATTTGTTTGCAAATACGAATACACGTCATAGATAATTTAATAACTCAGTTAGGCATTTTTAAGGTGAATTACATATTCCTGCCTAAGTTCTTGGAGTAACCATCTCCATCCAATCCACAGCTTGGCTTTGACATGCTGGAGAGCTGAGCCGGGGATTACAAGGGATAGTACAGGCATTCTGGAGTCTGTGTCAGAGTCTGATAGCTCTTCCATCCCAGTTTCTTTTTATTAAGTTTCCCAACCAGATCAACGCCGAAGCATTAAAGTCCAAATACATGACCTCTCTCTCCTGGGGTTGTGCCAAGATGCACCATGGTTGGGCCACTTAGTTATGCTTCATTGTTTACCTCACATTATATATTTATTGTATGACCTTAGCTTGGTCAAACTGATTTAAGATAATTTAAGAAACCAGCTGCTAAAACCAGATCCAGATGGACCTCGCCACACACAGGAAAAATAAAAGATAGGCGTAGAAATGAGAGAAGTGGGATCAGAAAATTCCCCTCTGTGAGCCACGCAGCACAATGCCGCATACTTTGGCGACAGGCCTACAGAGTCCTGTCAGTGTGAGGACAAAGACATCAGGCCCCATACAGACCTCAGGATCACAGAGAGGGAAGTCAGCTGCCTGGCTGGCACGAGGCAGACCGTGCCAACATTTTAAAGACTTTTCCCTAGGTTTTACCTCTAGGTCTTGTGATACGGCGGCTTGATGATGTTTGTCAACAGCTGCACTGCCGTAGCATGGAAATAAAGGCAGCTCTTTTGTTGATGGGCAGCTAAAGGCTAACTTGATATGTCTGGAATCCATCCCAATACTTTCCAGGCGATGCTTCCAAATCTTCCTCAATATTCGTTTAACGGCATGGCTGTTCGCCATATTGCTTCCCCGGATAATATCATGCTGCTCCACATAGATAAATAAAGAATTGCATACCATAAATACATTTTAAGGAAAAGTTTGATAGAAATAGAGCTTTATTTACAAATAGGCTTAGGCTGATTAGAATAAAATACGATTGCGGTGTCTCGCACGTATTCGTTTCACATTGTAAATCCACTTCAAGACAAACGTCCCAAAGGACCATCTGAGTCCACAATGAACACCTGCTGAAGTCATTCAAAGGACAAAAACTGTTCCCATATTCCTTGGTCCATTGCGTTTTCTTGCGTTTGTCCCACAGTTCTATTCAGAGAAAGCGCACAAGCACCGAACGACTACATTGTTGGAGCTAATACTCTACTCTCGTGGGTCTTTGGTTGTGGGGGGACAAAATGCCTTGGGGGTATTTAAAAAGTCACTGGGCGAGAGGTCAACATGCCCTGTCATACTGAGATGTAAGGACAGCGTGCATAAAATCAGGAAATGCAGAAATGCAACACCAAGCAAGTAGGTGGAAGACCAACCCCGCAAGCAACTTTTAAAGATGTAAAATAAATACATTGTGAACTTGTTTTTATACATTAGGCCTATCGGAGAGTTAAACAAAACACACAGTTGCTGTTGCTGGGAAAGGAACCTGGGTGTAAACATATAATTACGGATAATACTTGAAGAACCACAGCAGTCCATATGGAGTGCATTCATTTCTCCAGACCCATAGTGCAGGTCTCAAACAGAGGGAACTATATAACCATTTGGGAACTGTGCAGTATCACCATGGCGACATAAAAACCATCCATCCCCCATACTACTCTTGTGTTTTTACAATTTTACCATTGTTATTATTACTATTGTTGTTGTTTTATTATTATTATTATTATTATTATTATTATTATTATTATTATTATTAAGCAGTACCAGGATAAAGAGGATTGAGAGTACGTTTTTAAAATACTATTACTGTTGACACTTGACAGTGGCAATAAATAAGGAAACAGCAGCCAGAAGCCTGGCTATTTCCTCAGAAATTAGATTACTTCCATATGCTCATAAACTGCTATCATGGCTTGTCATTTGCACCGCTGAAGGGGGAAGGACATTGTGAATGTCTTGACCTGTGGGTGCTGCCTTGTACGACGTGTCCGAGCGTTATGAAACAATAGTGTTGATAATAATATCGAGTAAAATAATAATCGCACGGAGATGATAATAAACGTCACTGTTGCACAGCACCTGCGGTAAACCGCAGACCAATATTCACCCGGCGCAAATCTGAAAAACAATCAGACTGCCATTGAAAGTCTCAAAAGGAGACTTTCAAAAATAATCGGGTTCTTTGGGCAAGAGAGCGAATAGTGGGGCCCTCGTAGGGTCGTTAATCTGACAGAAATGCACACAAGACGGGGAACAGATGGACTTACTCCTCTGTGCTTTAACTTTATGCATAATCTTCATGTACAGACCTCTAACTACAATTCCTAATAAAAACATTTTCTTCTCGAACTTGGAAAAATGTCGGCTCATATTAGGTTAAATGGCGCCCCCTGGTAAGCGTACCTAATGCATTACCGCTGTACCAGCACCGGTGGGCACTTCGTGTTTAAAAGCGAAGTGGTGTCTGATAATGTGCATAATTGGAGAGAGTCCCACTGTAAATACCTCATATTCATATAAGGAATATTTTACTTCATTGTTATTTCAAGCAAAGTATCCAGTAGCTCTGCCATTTGTGCCAGATAAAACACATAACAGTTGAACAAAGACTAGATACAATAGATATACAAATTTAATTGTTGTCTTATAATAGTATGGATTTATGCTTTCTTCCCACCCAGATACTTTACATGATAAACCAAAATCATTTAGTGTTCGCATTCGCTGATTAAAGCATAGGCTATTTAAAACTTTAGAAAATAGCCTACATTATTTCACAAGACTTACCCACTGTTGTAATTTCGATGCATTTTTATTATGAAAAGAGTAACATAGAAATGTCTGTGTCTTACCTCTTAGGAATTCGTAATGTATTCTTTGCACAGCACTTTTCATAAAGCCATGATGAAGCGCAGCGTTGTGTCCTGCATCTGTAGGAGGTTTGCCTCAGCAGCGCTGGCTACAATGTAAGCATAGCGAAATGCAAAAAAAAGAAAGAAAGAAAGAAAAAAAGAGCGAAAATGGGAAAAGAACAGGAAGCGATGACGGCTGCTCTGGGAACGTTATGTGGAACTGCAGAACGATATTCGAGTCTTTTCGCTTTTCCTTTTTATAGAGGACTGTTTGAATAAGTACGTTTCTATCAAAAATCATGAGTTATAACTTTCTCGAAACGAGTCAATTTATATTATTGACCGTTGAAGAGTGAAAGTTAGAATGTTAGAAGAAAAATTTCCAAAAAAAGTTTTTTTCCCCCACTGGAAGCTAACTAAAACAAATGAAAACAAATACAAATACATAATCATATCTTACATATCTTTTCCAATTGGATTTTTTTCTTTTTCCAGGTTTAGCTATGTATGCCTCTGTCCTAATCTAATAACAACAATTGGGATCAATTTCCCTCATTATACCCCCCAGAAAGAGCAAAATAACGGGAAAAAAAACTGGATGAAGTTCCCTTATATCTAAGTGCCCACGCTCAGCTGTTCTGCCCTTTATTCCTACCCGACAAAAACCGCTTCCAATGCCACAGCGCATGCGTGAGACAACATTACGCCGCATTAAGTCTCTCAAGACAGAAAGTTTTTGCTCCCCTTGCGTGTTTAGCAGAAGCAGAGGCTTGTATGTTAGTTTTAACGTGGAGTATCTTAAACGTTATTCATATTCTGTTGGTATTTGTATTTATTACGTGGATTAAACAAATAGAGGTGATTGTTGTATTGTTTGTATTCTTACTGACTCCAAATTCCAGATTTATACCATTAAGCTCGACGGTACACCTGTATTTGTTTTGTTTGTTGAGACTAGCATACATTGTGGTCTTTGTTTTAGTTAAAATATAAATATTTAATGTAAACAGAAACGTAAACCTTGTTATGCATAGTTGTTTTACTTGGAACTATATTTGTTCGACACCAAACATTACAACGTGTTTTGAGAGCGAGGTCTGCGTGTCCACGTCTTATGAGTCAAAATTAGTTTGTTTCCTGATGAAAGAAAGTTTCTAAGATTATACTGCCACACCGAAAACAATAGGTAGCAATTTCTGGCCGCATAAAACTGTGTGAAAATTGCTACCCCTTTTAAATGTCCACTCAGATCTATGGGTAGGATATTTTGAAAGCAAAAACAGACAAATACAACAGAAGAGTTTTGCTCTAGTGGCAAATTCTTTCAAGTCAGCAAAAAATGGCAGAACAGCATTTTCCAGAAGGAGACCATACTGGCGCAGGTCTTTCCAAGCCTGTATGCATAATTAAACGACAATCTAAGGTAACATTACACCCGAAGTGCCAGATTGAGTTTGAAGTACACTAAAATCATATAAATATTAGTGGTAGATAATTGGCCTGGGATAGGCCAGGGTCATCTTAACGCTGTGAAACTGGCAGACATCTCTCATAACAAAAATACAATTGTGAACATTGGTTGTTAGGGAAACATCTGGATTTGGGCACATGCACATTGGTTCCACAGTGACTGATCTTAGGTAAAAAATAATGTCTTCATTATTTTAAGTTGTCTTCAATTCAACTTAATCCTTTTAATTTATTTCATGCCCATCTGTCTGTTTATGAATTAAATGCGATGGTATGACATAAAACTCAAAGCTTACTTTCTTATTTCAACATAAAATTTCATAAGAACAGATGTAATAGCCCTTACTGACCTAACTACTCACTAGAGTTTTACTGTTTTACATATCCATAACATAATGAAATAGAACGTGATTTTCCAAAAATCCCAACTTTAGAATAACAAGTCTCACAAATTACATCCACAATGCATTTGTGTATCTTGGATCAAGAAAGATTTACCCTTGTAGGTGATTGATGGAGAGGCAGAAATAGACAAACACCAACTGTCCATCTTACTGGAGCCTGAAAAGAAACATTTTATTCGCTGGTCTGGATAACATTACACAGAAGTCTAATATTTAGCAGATATTAATATACAATAGGCAGACATATTTTTTACAAAAGATATGATGTGAAATTAATTGTATTAATCCCTGAATGAGAACAATACAATTTCAAAACCTTACTGTCTTACTGACTTCTGACATGCTTATTCATTCAAAAAACCTTATACATGAGTTAAAAAAACAATCCCGACTCTGAGACTGAAAACTTTAATGCGATAAAGAAACATCTGGCAATAGCAGCACAATCACGTTTGCCAGTTTCAGTCAGCTGATTAGATCTCACCATTGTCCAACACAAACAGTTTTAGCAGTGCTGGCTAGCTGAAGCCGCACTCTGCGATGTCACTCTGACCTAGCGCATCCTTAACCGTGGTTCTTGTTCCTCCAGAAACTGGAACTGGTTGAAAAAGCGAGCTGTGATTGGTCGAGCCGTCCGTTCCATTCTCGGACTTTCGATTTGCACTGAAAGTTTTCTTCACCAGGCTTTCTGGGAAAAATAAATAACGTAGTCAGTAAATTGCAGGACTACAAAAACTCAGCTTGCATGCCAGTGGATTTCAGCCTCGGCAATGCACACTCCCACTGCAGTTAGTTTCACTTCTCTAATTTTTTTTTACTACTGAAACTATTTATGTGAGTCTGTACCAGATAATCATAATATAGCAATGAATTTTTAGTTTGATGATTGTTTAACAATATGGAGAATGGTTGTTAAACTAGATTACAATATTATTAAATGTATGGCAATAAATACACTGTTTTTACTTTCAGCACTGAAATTGTGTTGTTTTGCCTCAGTTCTAAGAAAAATCCACTGAAATTAACTGTCCTCGATCTGACATTTCTGGTCAACATCTAATGCAGGATACTTGCTGTGCACAGGGCCACTGGACAGCTTGTGCTGGGGTTCAGTCTGACTTCTTCTCCAGTACTTCCACTGAGGTCGTCCTAGTGATGCTGAACTTGGCTTGTGCAGGAGACACAGGTCAGTGTTGGTCGCCTGGCTCATCATCTCCACTCCAGAAGACTTTAAAGCTCCATCTGAAGCATCACTGTTGCCCCCAGATGAGTGTGAAGAGGAGGAGGAAGGAATTTTCCTCTCCTCCTGAAGCTCCTTCAGTTGGAAGTCCACCTTCCTCTCCAGGTCCTCCCAGGGTCTTTCCTCTTCTTCATCTCTGAGGCTGATCACATGACACGTGGACAAGGGAAGGGGCCTCCACTGCCTGCATGAGCAGCTGAATGGGGAAGCAGGCAAGGGGCAACCCAGGCTGCAGCTAAAGTTGCGAGACGGCCAGGGTGGGTGACACATGTCACCGTGGTGACACTGTCCTGGGAAACACCTTCTCGGGATTCCTGGCGGGGACCACTGCAGTTCTCTCACAATCCGCTCGTACAGGGAAGGCGAAATCCACACCCCCAGATCCCCTGGCACCGTGGCTTGCCGTCCATTCCAGAACAACACCTGGAGACCATTCATATTTCTCGCTGGTGGAGATGAGTTAGAACCACAAGATTGGGAATCTCCCAAAAACTACTCTTCTTTTCCTGCTATAGAGCACTTAATCTCTGGTTCCTTTATAGGATCTTTATCTCATCTTTGAGAAAACTTTGGGCTATGAATCAAAGCACTCAAAACACACCGTCATTCCTCGTTACCTACAATCCATGATTATTTTTGTACTACAACTGAAAAACTTGCTCATAAAAATTGCTTTGTGTTAAATGTTTATTTAACAATTGCTTTTTGCTTTGTTAAATGTTTTCACAATAAGAATGTTATTTCCCTATTTAATGTAAAAAGGTTTCCTCATAATTATTTCATAAAGTAGCTGATGTGTCAGTCAAGCAAAAAAATCAGTTATAAGTGCATCACAAAGAATTCTTTGGAATTGTATGTCAGTGTTGGTGCATGAACAAATCTGATGGCCAGGCCCAAGATTTTCACCTGGGGAGGGGAGTTGGGGGCATTACTGTGGGTAGATACAGGTGGCCCCCAGTTGACAAACTGTACCGACGGAGACCCCCCCCCCGGTCAGCAAAATCTAATTTATTTCTGGCCACAGACCTGCCATAAGCGAGATTCAGCTCACTTCTTACCACCAAGCAGGTTCCTGAGCTCCTCCCCAAGGAGTACGCTGCCCGGTTCATATCGGCTGAGCCCCACATCGCTGGGGGCTAACACCTTGTCCCCGGGGCGTAGGCTGTGCTGGTGCGCCTCCGTGTGGGGGACAATGTTAGCCAGACTGGCATGCTGTAGGGACAGGCTCTCGCGCGTGGCTCCCTTCCATGTCGGTCTGTCAAACTCAACCAAGAACATGCCTCTTCTGCCCTGTGGGCCGCCGTAACATCACAGAGGTATCTGCTCAGTCCTCCATCCCCCACAAAGTACACGTATCCACACACCTTTTATACAATGTTCTGTATCTCCAGACAAACAGCTAAAACATCCTACAGATCTATTAAGCATCATACAGATCTTTTGCTATAAATGAAATCAGGCTTCACCTGTACTTCTTCTTTTATTGTGCCCAGGTAGTAAAATCCGTCCAGCTCTCTCTGCGCTAACACGCGACTCCCTATAGCTAAGTCTGGACTGCTCAGGCGGTGCCTCTGCAGGCCAGAGGGATACATGTGACAGGTAGAAGCTGGGGATATCCACCTGAAAACGGAAAATACCACAGGGTTGCCTGAGTTATCTCTGATACTCCTGATTGGGGTGATTTACATAAATTAGACACATCACTCATTTGTTACCTAAATGCCAAAGTTCAGGGAAACATCTGAAGTTTAATCAGTCACACAGTCACCCAATAGATGGAGAGTGAAAAAATGCATTTGCTTCATGGGTGAAAACTGGACACCTTAAGTGAGACTTTTTTCTGCCAACCGATTAAATATAAATTAAATGAACCACACCTCCTTTAACTGAGATGTTTTTTTTTTTTTAGATTGAGCGAAGCAAGGGCTTTGAATTGCGAACGTTGTTTTATTTAAACGATGCGTACAAAAATACACGTCAACATTAACACAACGCCAAAACATTAAGAAGAAGCAAAAGCATAAAGACCACGTGATGTTGATGTATTTTGGGCTTTCAGGGCCACTGTACAGAATGACTTGAAATTATGCGTATCTCTAAGGCTCCAGAAATAATGGGCTGGGACCTACCTGCGGGGAAGGTGAGACAGACACACGTGTGACTCCCAGGACGGGGCTGTGTTATGAACGCCACCTGCACTGCAGTACTTAACATCAGTGGCTCTTGACGTTGTGGGACAGCTTTCTTTCAAGTATAGTTGCTTTACCTGTCAACCATACCAATACATAAAGGCTGACACAGACATTTCACTGGCATTGTACTTGTACTCTGTAGGATGACAATAACATTGAATCTGATCTGACACATGGATGTGCCTAAAACTCATTCCAAGTACTGCAGTCGACATGCTCTTACCTCTACAGCAGCTGAAGCGCAGAGGGAGAGGACATGACAACCCCCCCTGGTGGAGAGAGAGAGACACTGCAGATACTCCAGTGTCCTGTCGTCTGGAAAGCCCTTATCAGACAGATAAAAGACGTGCACCCGGCGAGTTTTCACCATGCGAGGAACTTCTCGCAAAAGCTCCCGGGGGTTATCCGGCAAGCCGTTGGTCAGTAGGTGGACTACCTGGCAGGCAGGGTCAGCTAAGGCTTCAGACAGAGCGCCCAGAAGATTCCTGCCTGGGGTGCAGTGTAGGGCATGGATCCAGCCCTGTGCCTCACAGGCCAAGTCAGGACAACAGGTGACCATATGGTTATGCCACTTTGTCACCTGGCAAGAAAAGGGGAACCCCACAGTCCGTGCACATCCATAAAAGCAGAGATTCCCGGCACTGATGGTACACATGTTCTGTAGTGAGTTAGTTGATTAATCTTGGGTGTTCATGGGCCCCCAGGACACACAGAGACTGTTCCAGCGACCCGATGTTAGAGTCGAGCCAAAAAAGCCTAACTCACCTTGTGCGAGTAGCCAATGAGGTTGAAGAGAGAGTCCCGGAGTGTAGCCTTGGCCGCCAGCGTCTGAAGGAGGAGGTCTTTGGCGGGGCGCAGCACGGAGTACATGCCCTCTGAGGTGTCGATGGCGAAGGTGACGTTCTGCCTCAGCCCCAGTAACAAAGGCAGGGCGCTCTGGCAGGCCAGTGACTGTGCACTAACAGGCATGTTCTCCCTGTATGGCTTCCTAACACTGTAATAAAATGATGATAGCCCTACACTGGGCGATTTATCCATCTTTGTTTTTTTTCCATAACCAATATTAAAGGCAGAAGTAACAAATGAAAAATGAGATTATCCAGCAAAATATCGTCGTCTTTAAACATTTCATGATATTTAACGAGATTAAACACAGGACAGTGACATCGTATATAGTAGTCAATAATGATTAATAATTACTTACCAGTGTGGTCTCCCCTGGGATTTAAAATCTGCTTTGACGAGTGCCTGTCTCCACCGAATGCAACTGGAGCTTTTGTTTTACTGTTTATGGTGGTTACCCTAGCAACACAGAGGCCTGCATTTCCCCACTCTGCTGCGTCTGCTGTGGGCCCAACACCCCCACACAGGCTGCGGCCCAGCTCATACCGATTCACACTGCTAACAACTAATAATTACCATTCATGGTAAAAAAGACCCCTTTGAAGAATTTGAAGAATATTTCAAGACTGAAATATCATGTAGGGAAAAAAACATCCACCAGCAGTGACACAGGGAGCATAATCAGTGTCACATAAGGGCTCAGCTGTAATTTTATATATATATATACACACACACACACACACACACACACACACACACACACACACACACACACACACGTATATATACATATAGCGTGCGTGCATGTCGGGTAAAGATATCTTTATGGGGACCGCTCATTCATTTCTATGGGACAAATGCTAACACTATATATGACAACCTTAACTCCTACCCAGTCCTAACCATAACCATATTCATACAACTGTAATTTTATATAATATATATATATATATATATATATATATACACACACACATGTACATATAGTGTATATACAGTTGAAATACTTTATAATGTAAAGTGTACTACTCAGTGGATTACTGGATCATTTCAGCATCCCATCTGGAGTGTTCAGAATCAAAATCGGAATCTTTGTAGCCACATGATCATGGCTGTGGAAATTTCCCTGCCTCGGGCCTTACGCCTCCTTGGATCAGGCTTAAGACTCAGTGTAATCCGGTACTGAATACGCAGCTATGGAAGATGGATGGGCTGAATTTGTTGCATTCATTCCAAATTGTGGGTATGTAACAAGAGCTGTACATATTTTACATAACACAAAATTATAACCCGAGATTAACATTTAAATATTAGTATAAAAAAATCATGCACATAAAAACTGAAATGGTAAGTTCAACAAATAACTAAATCGATGGAGGTATATTGCTGTTAAACTGAATGTCTGAAGAAAATCACACTTTTCTTTAGAGGTAGTTTGCTGACCCTCCATCTGGACGTAGGTGAGGACAGACATGATGTAGTGTGGCACTTAAAAGGGGCTCAGGGGTCTTTAAAAACTCCTCCATAAAAACTACTTCCATGTCTTTCATTGCACCACATAGAGACATTAAAGCTTCACTTCTGAGATGAATAAACATGCAATATTTAGTAATCATCAAAATGGCAGCTTCTGCATTTTAATACTCCACATTTAATCAAGGTTTTACATTGGGTAACATATTTCATAAAAACACAGATTTTAAAGAATCTCAGAAAAACAGATACATTATACGTTTCTCCAGTCATAATTTCAGTGGCATAAGCAGACTTCTATGGAAAGCTTGCAAATCCAGCTAGGGGCAATACCAATGAAACAAAAATGAGGATGCAGTTTTTTTTTAGTAAAATAAAGTGCAACTGAACAAAACGTTTCACTAATTTCAAACCCCAGTCAACAGTATTGACAGTGCATTGAGTGTGACAAATCAGAAAATCTGTTTTATCAACTCGATATCTTCTTGCTTGTAGAGAAAGGACAGACAACATATGGCAGGAAAACTAAGCAAAACCTATTGTAACCTATTGTGTGTTCTTTTTAACAGTTCTTCACCAATGGTATTGAACGGATTTTACACATAATCATAAATCAATCACTTATCCTACATGCAAGTCAGAAAGATCCAGTTATTTGCATCAAACCCACCGCGAGGCCATGGTCACATGACAAAAAGGAAGTGGGTAGGGGGACAAGAGGGCATGGGACACTGTGTCGCAGCAATTCCCCTCCCCCCGTCCATCCAGCCGGCGTAGCCTAGCTGAGCACCACGTGCCGGTCGAAGACGGACTTGCGCTGCTCCTGCACTTGTCTCCTCCAGCGCTGCTGCGCATGCTCCACCTTGTTCAGCACGTTGGGTCGTGCCCGAGAGCGGGACAGCACGTCATGGGCGTTGGCGAAGGGCTGCTGGTCCTGGGAATGGTGGTCGAGTCAGTGGTGCTGAGTTTGAGCCACCAAACTCTGTTTCCATTTGTTCGCAGTCATAGGAATATCGCCGGATAACTAAGCCCTCTCTGCTCGATCCACATTTCTTTCCATATTTTTTAAGCATATCTTACGTATCTGTTTGTAGCACCGAATGAAAGACACAGTATCCCCTGTCATATTTGAGATTGTAGCAGAAAGAAGGAAGACATGCAACCCGGCGGTATGCGGAAGGTCTCCGCACATCGTCCCCAGTACATACCCCGACATCGTCGTCGCTCTGAATGAGCTGCGAGTGCCCAAAGAGCCGCCTCTTCAGAACCGGCTCCAGCAGGGTCAGGTACACCATATAGAGGAGCAGCAGACCCAGGACGGACAGGTAAATGATGATGGTAACCTGGGACAGGGAAGAGGGGGTGAGTCATTTCTGGGAGCTCGACTGGACAGGAACTCATCGCTTCAGTAAGTCATTCTATGTATTTATTTCTAAAATACTTTAACTCCATCAAGATCAGTAATCATCATGTATTCAACTATACATATTGCAACTTAAAAGGAAATGTTGGTAGTTTTTTAAAGTAATAATGGTTAAAAATAACATATTAAAAACTCCATAAGGTGGGAATTTGTCCTTTAGACTTACAAATTAGATCAAGGTCCAGGGAAAAGTAGTTTTGGATGTACACTTTCGCCAAGTTAGTTCTGGATAAAAGTGGTCTCTCTCAGCATAGTCACAATTAAAAAGCCCAACTTTGTTAAATACAAAGATGCCAGCAACCAGAACACAGGCAGGACAATAGAGGGTTTCAAAATACAGAGGCACACTACAGCAGTGACCGGGTACCAAAACGCAGAACGGTGGATGCTTACTTTAATCGTGCCAGAACTCCGTTCCTCATACTTGCATTCGCATCTCAAACAATAGGCCTCCACATCTTTCCCCGCCACCGGCATGGGCTCCACCACATGCAAGCAATTACTGCGGAAACACAATGCATGCAGTGTGAGCAGCGCACACACATGCCCTCCTACTATGTTCAAAAGCCAAGAAAAGCAGAATGCCATGAGATACTGTAAACGTAAGTGGCCTTGGCTAAGCCCTACCAATCAAACGATGACATATTGCATTACTTCGATAAAACATCATAGACCGCTTCATTCTTTTTAAATGAGAAACAGCAGCATGCAGGAAAAGCACATACCAGTCCTTCAGAGACACATTCTGGTTGTAGATTTGTCCAAGGACATCTTTGTACGGAGGACAAATGCATTTACATCGGATGTCTTCAGAATTCTGTAGGGACATCAGAAAACTGCATCACGCCAGGGTTACAGCATCCGTCAAAGTGAATTTACAGATTGCATAGGGAGGGCGAATTAAAAAAAAATGATTACAAAATATTTATAATAAATAACATTACTATATATTAGACTAATTGAATTAGTCGGGCATACTACATAAGCTTACTGAGAAGCCCATTACAATAGAGTAGAAGCTGTAATCACTGTCTTAAGTCTCAGCGTACAAAAGCGAATGGCAGCTAGCTAGTCTAGAGCCAGCGGCTAACTAAATGGGCTTTTGCGGGCAGGATCTATAACCATGTCATTACCGAAAGATTTGCAGATTAAAACAAGCACAATAAAAAGTATACGGTAAACACTTAAAGTGTCACTGTACCTTAGCATCTGTTACTGGCGTTGTTGTAAAAATAAACAAGAAACAGGCCAGTGACAACCGAAAGCAGGTCCTGGCGCCTGTCTGGTCCATTGTCAGCTCGACGGTGATCTGCGATTATACTATATATAGCTATGCGCTTAAAAATGTATTTAAATCAGCACAAAGAAAAAGTGCTGTGTGAAATTTCAATAGGTTTGTTTTCGTTGGACTTGCAGTATCGCTTCGTAAACTGTCAGATGCTTCCGGGTGTTCCCGGTAATGTTTCCCCACGGAAACAAGCGACGCGGTCCACGCTGCCCCCAGTCCTCTCTCCAGTGTATGTATACAATGGGCCAAAAGGAGGTCTACAGTTTTTAATTTACAAAGTAAAGGTTCAATTTTACCAAAGTAAAGCTTTTATTTTACAAAGTTAATTTTTAAAGTAGTGAATTTTAAAGTATATTTTTGTGCAAGTACTTTTTCATTAGTGATCAATATAGCAGCTGGGATATTTAAGTTTAGTCTTATTAACATTTAACTTCTTGGTTAGAGGTAGAAAATAATAAGAGCACTCATAAGCCCTCTTTATCTCTCAGCGAGGGTCTGGCTTACGCAACCCCCCTCCCCTCCCACATCCTGCCATCTGTGTCTTTGAGCACTGAAGATCATGCTGTGCCCCACCATGACATTTTTAGGGAGCTTTAATAACAAAGGAAAATATGGTATTTCAAAAAGCTTCCTGATGCATCTGTAGCTCGGCAAGTTAGGGCTCCATGTGTCCATAAGGTTGTTGGTTTAAATCCTGTGGTCAATAGAGTGACATTCACTATTGGGATCTTGAGCAAGACCCTTAATCCAAATTGCTCCAGAGTCACTGGCTGACCCTGCACTCTGATACTCAGCTGCGTGTCACTTTGGACAAAAGCATCTGTTAAAAGAATGTAAATGTAAGATAAATGTAATGTAATGATGCAAGATCCAATAATATATCAAGATCATGGGTTCCCGGACTTTCAGCCCATGACTGAAAATAACAGTGCCGGAGACTTCCTACACCCATTTCACGGACCGGGGTGGGGGGTGGGGAGGTTGTTACAATGGATATTATCACAAACATACTCTGGAAATCATTCCGTGACCCCAACTTTGGGATCCCCTGATCTAACTCACTGATGGTCCGTCCTGCATCCCAATCATGAAAATTTAATCTGAAACAAATGTTATCCTATTCTCTTAACAGATGTTTGTTTAGGATGACTTTCGTGGCCTTTATTGATATAACTTTAAAATATACTGTGCATCCAAGCTTGTTGTGAATAAATATGTGCTAAGGCAGCCTAACTGAATTTTTAGTAAGTTTCTCATAATCTCGATTGAGTATTCAGCTGTGTACTTTTTCAGATTTATTTCCCCCCACATAAAATGAGATGATTTCAAATGTAATGAATGCCAATTGTAATTCTAGCCAATTAATTAATACTTTATTGATCCCCGTGGGGAAATTACCTCCCACAGTAACATTTTCAAGTACACCAGTGGCTGAAATTCATTTTTAGGTTTCTCCTAACTTAGGAATGTTGCAGCATACATTCTTGTGGGAAAAGACCTGTTTGTGTCACTAAATATTTGCAAGTCAAAGTCCTCAGGAATTCTGCCATTTCCTCCATGTGCCAAAGACATAGCCTGAAATTCTTTGGAAAATAGCCCTGCTGTGTAAATAGATAATGTAAAGTAAAGTAAAAAAGGAAGAGGTCACACTTTGCATGAATGGACTTTATTAGCCAACATCTCCACGCAGACGTGTTTCAGCCTAATGCCTTCTTTGGTGTGCTAAAGACAATGTGCATTTAAAATTTAAAAAAATACAGCAAAGCTCATGAGCACATCCTGCTGGACGGCTAATGGTAACACAACAAGTGCGATGCAGGGTATCACCACACCACTAGTTAAATCAATACCGCTTGACTTTTGTTATTTGATTTACTCTTTTCTACAGTCCAGCACCCTGAAAAGTGTAACACGATTAGGAGTGAAGCCTGTTTTACTCTATTTCATAAATAGATAATTATAAACCTGTAACCCTGATCAGAGCCACAGAAATTAAACCAATCCACCACATGGACTTCAGCTTATTTTATTTCTTGGAACCTATTAAATACCAGGAAAGGTGAGAGTACCAGGGACATGATAGACTGCATGTTCTCTCACCTTCACCAGGCGTGTGACCAAAGGAGCAGAAAATTAAATGAGCTCTGGTCGCATTCATTACACAGCCCTGTGATTGTACCCGTGATTCAGCAAGTGGAGTCTGGGCTTTTGTACACTGCTTGTCACATTGCAGATTGGTTTAGCCCACATGGGGAGTATCACAAATGGTGAGACCAGGTCCACAGGCAAAAGGAAATTAAACATTTCTCTGGTGCTTCAGTCCAAAAAAAAAAACCTTACTTTAAATCAAATTCATTACTCATATTGCAGCAATTAGACAAGCTGTTCACAAAATAACATAGAAATAATTTTCCTTAGCCATACGATGGCTTTATTGATCCTTAATTTGCTTCATTTCCTGAGCTCTTGTAATTGGCCCAGAGTGTGAACGTAACCACATCAAAAGGCATTCTTCAAAGTGACAGAGATCATAATCATAGACCCAATTGATACTTGCCCTTTAGGGAGCAGAGCATTGAGACATGGCTGTTATTCATAAACACCTGGACATCACACTAATCAGGATTGGAAATAGGTCCATTTTGTCCATTTGGTTGTCTGTAATAAAGATTTTGCCTCCGAGACTGGGCTCGTGTTGCGTTTTGTTGGTTAATCATGTTTCCTATCCAGTCAGGCCTGACAATTATTTTTTAGCGCTTGCTAACAAGCTTCCTGCGGTCTGTCACCCTGCACACACACCTGTTACTGGCCAGATCATTAAAAATGACACCCACACACATTTATCTCATGGCCGCTTCCAGCAGCACCGCTCAGCCGTTAAATCAGTAATTACTCCTGGCTGAATTTTGCTTACAATGTGACCCTGTACTGGGTAAGTGGTTATAGAAGATCAATAAATGGATTTCCTTGTTGAATTTCTTCCTGGAAATGTACAACCATTAGACATAAGCATAGCCGCATGATTTCTTTGCAGTTCTGAGAATGTTCTGGAAATGGGTATGCTTTATTATATGGTGTGCTGTGCTCTCTCTTCTGCCCTGTGATTGTGTAAGATAACGGATCAGTGAAGACTTTCTTTTATTTGTTGTAGGTACCAAATAACCACACACACAGGAGTAGAGTGAGGGGCGTTTTCAGAGGGATTATCTGATGCCGAAATTGTAATCTGTCATCTGGCTTCTCCATAAATAATAAGCTAAAGATGCCAGTGACATAAACTCCGTACGTGAACATCACCAAATGTTTGGATCACAATGGGAAAGCTGCCCCCGTTAACGTTCCCACTTCAGTTTTACTCAAATTAAAAATACATGAATGCGATCCACTTACTTTATTGATAACATTGATAAATGCGTCTATATAAATTGTACAGATTGACATAATTGAAAGTACACAAAATATGTATCATAAGCAATATACTACCGTACTTTATATAAATTAAAAAACAGCATTACACATATTTAAGTGTGAAGATCAGTGTTAACGCTGTATCTCTATGAAAATACTATATCAAAACTAGTGAGAAAGGTACAGCTTGTGTAATTTAGTCAACTATTGGTATCTAGTTATACTAAAGCATCACATCTAGTGGATTTACCTGCACTTATAAAAATACTTCAAAAACATTTTAAAGTCTTACATCTATCCTACACCTATCCTACACACAGGGGCAGAACAGCAGTGTGGAGATTTACACCTATCCTACACATAGGGGCAGGACAGCAGTGTGGAGATTTACACCTATCCTACACATAGGAGCAGGACAGCAGTGTGGAGATTTACACCTATCCTACACATAGGAGCAGGACAGCAGTGTGGAGATTTACATCTATCCTACACAAAGGGGCAGAACAGAAATGTGGAGATTTACACCTATCCTACACACAGGAGCAGGACAGCTGTGTGGAGATTTACATCTATCCTACACATAGGAGCAGGACAGCAGTGTGGAGATTTACATCTATCCT